GGCCACAGGTAAGTACCGGCCCTACGGGCCTGCCAAACAAGCAAGTACCCTTGCGGGTCACACACACATTCATACCGACAAGCACTCAGACAGGCACGCAGGTTACAAGCACGCACACACAGACAGCCTTAGAAAACACAGCAGAATGCGGGAATCTCAGCAAGGCATCCATTCCATCAGCAGAACTTCAGAAATCAGCAGTGTTCTCAGTCTTGTTATGACGGGTCATTACAAAACATATAATAACAGTCCCACGATTCCCGACTTCGAAATAGATGCTCTGCCTTCGGGCATGGCACCTTAGTCTTTCCGGGGGGTGGTACCGTCGTTTTGGACTGAATTAACTAACACAAGTATGGCCAAGTGACAGTAATCGCGTAAAAGTTTTTTTTTGAATTCAGTAAATGGAGGCTAACGCTGTAGCAATTGCAGGTCATATAGCTTTTCTTCCTAAGAGTCTTCGAAGAAGCCAAAAAGTTTCTCGTAGTCAACTGAGTGTTCTCAATCTTGAAAAGGAATCCAAAAAAATTGAATAGCGTAGTCCGATTCCCACAGAGCAACCGATGCGCGAATGGCAGCTTTTACATGCTGCGGGAGAGGTACTTCGGCCACGCGCTTGGGGGGGAGATCCCCACTGAGCTACGGATGCACGTATGGCAGCTTTCACATGCGGCAGCAGAAAAACATTGGCCAAGGTCGTTTGCTCGTACAACGCTGTAGTATACACAACGGTTAACGATGAATGATGTGATGTCCTCTGGCTTCTTACGAGGTCCATCATTTGAACTTTTTTTTTTTTTTTTTGAACTTCTCACTTTCTTTTTTGAATGGTGGTAAACAACATTTTTTCGCTTTCATCATTTGCACTTTTTAACTTTCACTTTTCTTTTTTTCTTTTTTCTTTTTTGTTTTTTGTTTTTTGTTTTTTGTTTTTTGTTTCTTTTTTGTTTCTATTCTGCTTTTCTAATCTTATCGGCATAATGAGTCCCTTATATATAGTAGTTTTACAGTGACAACTTGACAAGTCATTGTCTTTCTCTTCTTACCCGTGTGACTGTTGTCCTCGTTTGTTTGTTGGTTGTGGTTTGCTGCTGCCACCTGTTCCACACTCACTCAATCGTTCGACGCGGGACTCCTTCGTCTACTTCAAAAATTGGGACGGGGATCCCGACAAGCAGTCTGGGTTGCTCGGGAAGACCCTTCTTGTCCTGGAGCCCAGTAAAGGGGGAATCTTCCCCCCACATAAGGTGAATCATGCGCTCCCTGCCCTACTGGTCGGTCCTGTCCAAGGCATGGGTAACTGGCATGTGGACTGAGAGATTGAATCTAATGTCTGTTCTGTTGTTGATTTACTCCTTGGTTGCGAACGTAGCCAGGTTTGTTCTGTCATAACAGGGTGAACATAGCACTGGTGGTCCCAGACCCTAAGTCTTTGCGGTCGACAGATTTGACTGCAGCGAGATCGGAAGTGTGCTGCGGTGGTCGAGGCACATTGGTGCTGTGTTATTATTTGTTCCTTTTTTTTGTTTTTAAAGGGTGATGAGCTTGAGAGATCGTCATCGCGGACTAGGTAATCCACAATTGTAGTATTTTACTCGGATGCATCTGGCAGAGTTCGAACTCAGGTCGGTATTTCAACAGTTCGTTCAGGGGTGTACCAACTGAGGTAGACCAGTTGGTTTTGCTGGTGTGTTATGTTTATTGTTGGCTGTACTTTTTTTACTTGGCCAGCTATGGGATGTGATGGGAAGTAAAGAGAAGAAGGGAGGATGGAGGGCTACGGGGACAAGGGGTGGGGTGGGGGGTGGGGGGGGGAGATGCAGGGCGGTGAGACGTGAGGAGGCGCCTCCGTTGGTTTGAACTTTGAAGTCCTTCGTTCAAGAGAGAAGGTTTCTGTGAGAGAGTAGGGTTGCATGCCCGCCGACCGCCGACCCCGACCACCGACCGTTTTGCAGCCGACCAGTAGGGCCGACTGGTCGGCGGTCTGCAGACCAGTCAGAAAACAGCCATCCACTGATTGTTTTTTCAAATCTCAGTTGGGGGCTGTACTGCACATGCTGAGTACAAGCAAGCACAGTATACGGGTGCTATAGAGGGTGTTGGGGGGGTATGAGGGTGTTGGGGCCCTTGAGGGGGGGGTTGTTGGGGGCAGGTATGGGGGTGTTGTTGGGGTTATTGGGGGTTATGGACTTCTAGGAATTGTAATTAATTAATTTATTTTTATTTTCTGCGTGGTGCTGACGACCCCCGAGCAGTAGGTGCCGACCAGTCAAGCATCGGGGTATGCAACCCTGTGAGAGAGTGAGGGTGTTTGGGGGTGGTGTGGGGTTGTTGGGGTAGGTATGGGGGTGTTGGTGGGGTCATTGGGGGTTATGGACTCCCAGGAATTTTAATTAATTAATTTATTTTTGTTTTTTGCGTGGTGCTGACGACCCCCGACCGGTAGGTGCCGACCAGTCAAGGGCGCTGAGCGTCGGGGTATGCAACCCTGTGAGAGAGTGAAAAAGGTTGAAGCATGTGTTTTTTTCTGAATCTATTCATCTGGTGGAATTGGGGCTGTTGTGGGGAAAATCTATAACGCACACACACACACACACACACACACACACACACACACACACACACACACAC